ATGATGATGGTGGTGATGATGATTATGATGATGGTAGTGATGATGGTAGTGACGATGACGACAATGTTGGTGATGATAAGGTTAATGCTTTTGATGATAATGTGGGTGATGATGATGATGATGAAGGAGGTCATGGTGAGTATATTGTGTAGATGATAATGGTCAGATTTGAAACTATAGAGGAAACTATCATATTTAGACAAATAATACTTTCTTGCTAATTTTCGGAACTCGAAGTGAAAAACCTCCAATACAATGAAAAATTTCAAAGTTTTTTCATAGTCGATATTGCGCTTTTTCAAAGTTATTTTTCTCTGCTTCCATTTTTTCTTTTCTTTCTTTCTGTTTCCTTTTTCCTTCTTTTGTTTTTCTTTTCAATATTCTACAGTACGTAACGTTTATGTGTGTTTACCTTTTCTTATAAATATTTCATAATAGTTTCGCCATTCTCATAGTGTAGGTTGTTTGTTGCCACAACGTTTTGTGGTCAAACATCTCTGCGTGTTGTTATACTTAGGCACTGACAAGATTCTATATTAGGATAATTGTCGCTAGAGGAGGGTAGTTACTAGAATATTCCTCAACCTTCAAGCTACTGTTTAGAATATTACCAACGCCACGACACGATATGCATGGGGACTTTAGACTGGTCTCAACATAATATTCTTAGCAGATACATTCTGGATTATTTTTTTGACAATGTGTTGTCATTGTAACTGTAACTTCTATTTTAGTTTGTAATTCAGATTGTTTTCCTAATTTTGGTTTGTTTGTGGGTTTTTTAGTCTAATACTTGCTAAAAGATTCATGTTGGATAAGCCCCAACGTTTCTAACTACAAGATTATGTGTTACTGAGAGACAAATTGCTTTGGATTATTCCTGCTGACTTGAAACTAATATCCTAATTAACAATAACTTGCGTTTAAGATGGGCCCATCTTGATAGGGTACCTTAAGAATAAACTCCATCTAAGATGATTTAGATGGTAATGAATTGTAACAGTTATCGTATATCATAATTGTAATGACCCCTCCAGTTCAAACGCGTAACGAAAGAGGCATCTGTCTTTTTCTAGATTAGATTTAATAGTTTCAAGGTCGTTTGCGTCCAAGAGACGTTTTGCAGTCGGTGCTTAATTGTAACAAGTTTTGATTGTTATTAATTAATTATGCACCAATGTGTATCTTTAAAATTTGATGAAATCGTAACAGATATATGACCATAACTTTCAGCGCCCCGTGATTACATCCCATCAACAACACATCTGTCATCGACATTAGGACCGAGTCCAAAGAGGTTCTGCTGCGAAGTCATATTTAGGAAGGTTGGCAAAATGGCGATATATTTTAACTAATTTACGGGTTTTGTAAACAATTGGATCCACCATTATGTAAATACAGCCCGCACGTCACTTTTCTTTGTTTTTACAGCAGCAAATCAGTTTTTCAGTAACCAATCGCGTTTCGTTTTGGTTGAGTTCATGTCAGCAAATGCCTTCATATACACCACTAGCACGAGGGTCTTTCACTTACTCTTCTTTACAACGATTTGAAACATTACAGCAAGGTTAGGGCTACAAAACTAACTCAAAGTGGAGTTTAAACAATTGACTTGATACGTCAATCATTAGGAATACAATCACGGGACAGAACAGAGAAAAATCGACTGATTTTTGAATTGTACAAAAGAACTCTTGACTGCCATTGTCAACTGTCTTTACATAAACACACAACAGAGAGGTCTTAGGGTATGGAACTAGAGTTGGATGGAGTTATGCCAGGATCTTACGTCAAACAAGAAAGGATTACAAAGTTCGGCAAGAGAAAATCTACGTCCAGAAACTTTGAGAAACGTCGTTTAATTTCAAAAAAGGGAAATCTTCAAATCATTGCCGACAACGTCCCAGCTCGTAATCAACTCTTCTTAGCTGACCATTTTACTACGTTAATCGAGGCACGTTGGAGATATGTGTTTGCAGTATTTTCTTTAGCGTTTTTATTGAGCTGGGTGTTTTTTGCAGCAATATGGTGGGGAATATATAGCTATAGAAAAAAATATCACGACATGGAGTGCATCGAAAAAGTCGATAACTGGACCTCGGCCTTTCTTTTTTCTCTTGAGACCCAAACTACAATTGGTTATGGTGGACGTCAAGTCACTCCGCACTGTCCTGAGGGAGTTGTATTATTAATTTTACAATGTATAGTAGGACTTTTGATTTCAACTACTATGCTAGGACTAGTGTTTGCCAAGCTTTCAAGGCCCCATTTACGTCGTAGAACTGTTAAATTTTCAAACCATGGGGTCATAGCGTTGAGAGACGATAAACTGTGTTTGATGTTTAGAGTTGGTGACGTTCGTAAAACACCGTTATTGGAACCACATATTCGGGCCTCGCTCATTAGAAGGCACTTAACTAAAGAAGGGGAAGAAATTGGGTTTTTTCAACAGAGTTTATCTCTTCGTCACGACCATGTCAATGACGAAAAACTCAATCTATTCATACCTGCTATAGTGTATCATGAAATAGATGAAGAGTCTCCTTTCTATAGCTATGGCGCAGAGGATATCGTACGATTAGATTTTGAAATTGTTCTTATTTTGGAAGGAATTCTTGAATCAACAGGTATGACTACACAGGCGAGAACCTCGTATCTTAGTGATGAAATTCACTGGGGACATTTATTTGAAGATATCGTCTCTCGTGATAATTTCAAAGATGGATCATACCGGGTCAACTTTGGACGATTTAATGATATATTTCCCGTGCCTACTCCAAGATGTTCAGCTAAGATACTCGATGAATTAAAGAGTAATAGAGGAGACTCGGACCCTCCTAATTCTCCATTAACAAACTCTACGCATTCAACCGCAGATTTTCAAGTTGACTGCAATAATCACGAAGGACTACTTGAAGAAAAGCCAGCCAGCGCTACCAGCTTGGCAGCCCTTCATCGTAACAGTTCCCAACTTGTTCCTAATGGAAGTACGGTCAGTTTCAATAACCCTTCAATTATAACTAGTAGACTATGATATCAAATATATATGAAAATAATAATGAAACGATTAGAAGGTGATTATGGCGTTTTCAAGAAGGCGCTAAATATCATCCGATTGATAAGTATATCAACACTTGTGCTATAATCTTTATACAATATTTGTTAAGATAACATTATTTAAGGCTTGCTATATAATTTTCCACAGAATCGTAAGATTTCTGACAAATAAGTCATTTAACGAATTAATATTGCACGCTTGCTTGTAATCTAAACTAAGTAAAAAACATATTAGCAATTCATTAATTCCAATAATTCATCTATTTATCAGTTACGACATGAAAACAGTTTTTTTAAAAGGGAAAAAACTTACGGCAAAAACCTTTAATTAAAATTTCCCAAAGTGAGTGACAATTTGTGAATATCAAATATTTATAGTTGGATGATAAGTCTTGCAATAATTATTCTGCCCCAACTGCAGGAAAACCGTTGAATTATTATCAAATGAAATACACAAACTAATCAAGAATTCACGTAGTTAAATGAAGTTTTCTTGTTGGCGTTGTTTTTAATAAAGTTCAAATAAATGATACACGTTCTTTATTGCCTGTTTAGTGTGTCTATGATTGAGTCTCCAAACGTCAGAGTACGCTTCAGCTATGGGTTTAACTTTTCAGTTTCTGCAGTAAAAATAACCCGCCTGTGTTTTCACTTCTGTTTTCGTACAGCGTAGCAAAGTGGACAGGAGTACTTAGGTCTATAGTGCTGAATTTTCGAGGCAGAAAGAATGAAGTATGCAATAAAGTGGAATCCATTATGATGCAATGCAACAGTGCGTTTTTCGACAAAGCAACTTTTCAGATAAAAATGTAAAACTTAAAAAGTTAAGAATAACCTATATTTTCCTGTCTTCTATTTTTGTATAGCGCAACAAAGTGGTCAGGATTAGGTATTGTAGTGCGGAATTCTTAAGGCAAATTAAAAGACATAGAGAGAAAATGCGCAATAGAATATGGTGCCATGATGCTATGCACCAGTGAGTTTTTCGACAAAAAAAACTTTCCAGAGAAAAAAAGTTATGATTTTTGCTGTGATTTATTCTCCTAAGATTTCATGGTTAACCAATTTTGGTTTTGAATTCAACCACAAGAAAAATATTTATTTTCTTTATTTTTTGGAACGTGAAAAATTTCGGGAAGCATGCCGCGCTGATGTTTCTGGTTGAGTGCAACCACCCCTTTGTTGACGTGAAACTGCGATGAGCGCATGAGAAAAGGCACTGAGCGTGGTGCCGACGCGCTTTGAAGAAACCATTGAGAAAAAGTAGCCAACTGTATTAAAGACACAGCATGTTTGATTCCTATATAATGCAAATCATATCACGCTTCAGTTATAGTTTATAATATGAAAATATTTGATCTTGACCAGTTCACTTTAAGAGACGATCTCGAGGTAACTCCAGTCTTGGCTACTTTACCTCCAAGTGTTGTATTAACTGGTATTCCTGTGTCGGCGTTAGAGGGAATGAATACGACTGTCTACACTTTTAATTTTAAAAAATTAGCAGTTATAATATTTTAATCAGTGATATAAAAAAACCTTGGAAATTCCAAACATCCCCATCCATAGGGTAGATAGACATATTCTGGTACGCTACACAGTCAGTACCCTCCTTAGACAACCGGATGTAGTTTAACCGGAAGTGGATGTGTGATTGTGAGGCCTGGGAATGACCAAACGTGGAAACCATTGAATGGAACTAAGGGTCATCAAAATATGGCTTAGATTTTTCCTTAAAAAACTTTGTTTTTTTTCCCTTGGATTAATTTCTTTCACCATGGATAAAATTAATAGTTTAAGGCAGAGAAAGAGAGAGAAACTGAACGAAGAAAAGCCTAGTTCAACGAAGCAAGATGAGTCGAAAACAAAGCAAATTGATAGCACTCCACTTGAAATAGGCTCCTACTGGTTGACTAGGATCGTGTTTGTAAGGTGTCTTGGCTTCATATACTGTAAGTAAGAAAACGAAAACTATCTTATTGCATTTGAAAACCAATTCCTACTCTTCAAATCCTCGAGATTGAATTGACTGCGATAGACATTATCTTATATTCTTATTGTTTTTTTGGGTTTTTTTTGCATGGTTTTTGGTTTTAGTTTTTGCATTCCTCATTGCTGCACACCAAAACAAGCAACTTCTAGGTAAAGATGGTCTCCTACCAACAGACAAATACCTGCAACAAATTGAAAATCACTTTGGAAGCAGAGGATGGGAGACATTTCTACGAGTGCTGTCAGTCCTCCTTTTCTGTGATTGGTCAAAGATTGATGTATATCTTGATGTGTTGGCATATAGCGGCATGGTCTTGGCAGGGTTTATAATGATATCGGGATGTGCAAACATGATCATATTATTTGCTTTGTGGGTAATATACCACTCAATTACCAATATTGGACAGAGATGGTAAGTTACAAGCTAGAAAAATATCCATGCCCCCCCCGAGGGGATTGGAATTTCCAAGTGGATGGGGAGGTTCTGAGGAGGGTATATTGCATTTTTTGAACTCCATTTTAAAGTACGCTAACCACTACTTATTTTATTTTACAGGTATTCCTTTGGTAAGTGGAGGTTAAAATTGATGTTCATTTTTTGAGATAACATATTTGTATAAAAGTCATATTTTTCTTTTTTAGGTTGGGAGTCTCAGCTTCTTGAGACAGGATTCCTTGCTATATTCATGTGCCCTGTTCTTAAACTGCAGAAAGTTCCACTCCACACCCCTACCCCCTGGGTAGTTATTTATGGTTATAGATGGCTCATATTCAGAATTATGCTTGGTGCCGTGAGTATCATTGTTGTATCATGTAGTGTCAAAAAAAAAAATATATAGAGGGCAGAAAACATCACATAATAACATCTATAAATTTTATCAAACTTTGAAACAACTTCTGACCTGATTAAAGGCTGATTAAAGGTCAAATTGGAACTAGTGTGTTATGCTTTGCAGAGGGAGGAAAAAAAGATAACCTCAAGAAAAATCCTTGAATCAAGGGAGAGACCTAACAAACTCTATGCATGTGTGACGCCATGTCCAGGAATTGAAGCTGAGACAGAGAGTGCAGTATTCTCTTGTGAAGATGACTTTCTCTCAGTTTGTCGAAACGTCAGTCACCACCAAAAACAGTCTTTCTCAAGACTACACTCACCCAGACGATCACATTTCACAACAAATTTCAACACCTAGCTAGGTTCAAACCATTTACTCTTAAGTGCAGTATTGCTACATCACCCCTAATTCCATGATTACAATTGGCTTGAAATCTCTTTCAGGGTCTTATAAAGATACGAGGAGATCGTTGCTGGAGAGACTTGACATGCATGAACTATCATTACGAGGTAGGAGATTGGAATTCTTTTGTTTTGTCCCCCAGATCAAGCTGCTTTGATGTCACATCATGTCCTCCCACTTTGCATATACTCTACGATTGAATAAATCAAGTTTATGTTACATTTTCACTCCATACCTTAAAACAGTCTCTGGGTTTCCTGTGGTGGAATGACCACAGGTAGCCCACCAACAATGAGACAAAAACAGGTAACTTAATTGGAGGAAGTTGCCATGTCGTCTTCTATTAAGATAGAACCTTACCTACACAAATAATCAAAAGCCCACTTGCTGTTCAAAAAAGGCAATTTAGAGTATCAGTTTAGAAACTGATCCTTCATTGGGGGTAGTTGAGGCTGCTCTGACATATATATCTACCCTATACATATTGATACCACCTTTGTCTTTACAATTGATTTTCTATTGCTATTCTTTTTCAGACCCAGCCAGTTCCTAATCCAATAAGCTATTATATGCATCATTCTCCAGAGGTGTTCCATAACCTTGAAACTCTTGTCAATCACTTTGTGGAACTAGTGGCTCCCTTCATGATATTCCTGAACAGACCTCTTAGAATCTGGGGTGGAATCATCCAAATTATGTTCCAGGTAAATCATTGACTGGTATTTCTCAATGACTATAGAAAGCAAAACTGGGGATGGGGGGGNGGGGGGGGGGAAGGGGGTGGGCTTAGATTTGAAAATATGGGAGAATCATATCTTCTCTCATAAGACAAAGACCCTGGAGCAACCTTCAAAAATGAAAAAAATTAAAAAATAGCTGACTCAGTGAGTTTAAATTTTTTAGTAGATATGAGCTTAGAGTGTAGCAGCTTATTTAATGGTATACTTGGTATACTATGTTTGCTTATCGTTTGTGTTGCTTGTGTGCAAACCAGACTTTTCATTAAATCTGCACTTGAATCCTTGTTTGAAAGTTCCATATTGTATTCATAACTACTGAAATATTCATTTTTCAGGTCATTCTTATCATTAGTGGAAATCTTAGTTTTCTCAACTGGCTGACCATCCTACCAAGCATTATGTGTCTAGATGATGCGAGTCTAGCATTCCTTTTTAGTGATTCATCCTCAGCAAAGAAAGAAGTCTTGAAGTTGCAGCATGCTAAAAGTATAGGGAAAGCTCTTGGGCCATCATGGGGTATGCTTGAATGGATACATACTTTACATAATGTATTTATTAAGGTTAATGGCCTAGATAAAAGGCGCAATTTATGCATGCCAAAAGTAAGTGGTAATGACAGTGAGGATTACAATTAGCTAGGGAAATGGTGAATTATTTGCGCACCCAGGTACCATGTACCTGAATACTGGTGTAGAATAGATTTTTCCCTTTGTACAGGTCTCTACTACCCCTTTCTCCCCCTACCCCTCCCCCATTGCCAATCTCTTCTGACATCCATCATTAATTGTTTCTTTTGTCTATTTCCTCTAGGTCTCTGTGTGCGACGGGTCTTTGAGGTCATGCTTGGTCTCATTCTTGCTTATCTCAGTATTCCTGTCATCCAGAATCTAATGTCTTCTCAACAAGCTATGAACACATCGTTTGATTCTTTTAGGATTGTTAATACTTACGGGGCTTTTGGAAGGTGAGAATATGACACCCACCCATCCCCCCCCCCTCCCCACCCAAGGGGTGGGCAAAGCGAACTTCCATTCAAAGTAAAGCAAGTGCTTAATATTAATTGCGTAAAAAAAGAAATATGCTTGAAAAACTCTCATCAGGGTAAAATTTGTACCATTTGAATAATTGTATCTTTCTGTAATCGCTTTGGCGCAAAAATTGCCTTAATATATGAGTCTAAGTACAGGGTGTGCAAAGACAACTAGTTACTAGCATGTCCCTTTTGGCACCAAAACTTTTAGTGCACTTTTAAATTGTTTTGTTTTATCGTTTAGTATTACAAAGAAAAGAACAGAAGTAATATTCCAAGGAACTAAAAACTCAACTATAATCCCTGATGAAGAAGGAGGAATATGGCAGGAATATGAATTCAAGTGTAAGCCAGGTGACACTAAACGGCGGCCATGTCTGATATCACCATATCACTACAGACTTGACTGGCTCATGTGGTTTGCAGCTTTCCAGGTAAAAGAATGCCAAGATACCAAAATACAATTTTCCAGTACTCAGCATTCAAATCAACCTGAATTCATGTTACATTGAACCATTGCATCACTTGTATTTCTAAGATTTGAATATATAGCTATTTTCAAAAAAGGTTGGTGAAGGCTTTGTTGAATGTTGCAGACTTTAAACACAGTCTTTCAGTGCAATGCCATTAAACTTTGTCACTGTGGTATTAGCTGCATATTCTACATGCTGATTAGCAGTATCATATGCCTGACATGCTTCGTTTTTTCATTCATTGATAGAATTACCAGTACAATCCTTGGTTGATCCATCTTGGTGCCAAACTACTCGTTAATGATGACCAAGCTACTTCATTGATTGCGCACAATCCTTTCTACAACGACACTCCTCCCAAGTGAGTATTTCATTTGCTTGTCAATACGCGGTTCGCTTTAAGATTTTTCATCCATTTTCCATTTCTTGCTGATCAGTCTTTGCTTTCCATATTCTGAGCTCTCCTTCTTCTACTTAACTCTGTCAGCCAGTTTCATCACTGCATTCTTACTGAGGTTATGGTTAGTTCTTTCATTGGTTCTCCACTAGATTTTTGTTATTTTTCGTTAGCTCTCAGTTTTCTGCCTACCTCCCAGTTAGTTTCTATCAGTCTCTCCTTAGTTCTTTATTAGCTCTCCATAGGTTTTCCATTAGATTTTCTTTAGTTCTCTGTAAGCTCTCCGTTGGCGTTTCGTTAGTTCTTCGTTAACTTTTCATTAGCATTATTCCAATCTTCATTTCATTTTCCCTTGGTCCAACTTCATTTGGCTGTAAGTACTTCTTTCCCTTTTGGTTCAATGCCGGTTTTATCCAATGTCTTGAGTGCAATCCGTCTCATGGTTTCAGGTATATCCGTGGCGAGCATTACCTGTATCAATTCACCAAGATTGGAAGTAAAGAAGCAAGTGAAGGTCATTGGTGGAAGAGAACCAAAGTTGGTTCTTATTTCCCTCCCGTGTCTCTTAGGGATCTTAAGGATTACCTTAGAATGCAGGGATGGAAACTACCAAAAAAGAAGAACAAAGTCTAATTCAGTCTCCAAACCCCACAAAACAGAAGGCTTTTCTTCCTCATGCTTTTTCATTAGCTCTGCTTTTGGTTTGGTGGTTTTAATGTTTTAATCTTTGCTGCATGATTCTTTGCTGTCGTAACTAAGCAGCTTCCTGTCAAGAAACAATCCTAGATAGCGCTATTGCTGCTCTAATTCGTCCAGAGATTTAAAAAACATCACTTCAAAAGTATACTTTATTAGTTAATATAATCATTTGTTTAGAGATTAAAAATCTAATAAAACATTTGACTAATATATATCATTTTCAGGCATAAAGATTTCTTATATATTAACCCCCACACCCACCCCAAAAAATAACAAAATATTTCCTAAAATTTGAATGCATAAAGTTATGTAGAACAAAAATGGTAGAAAACCATGTGAAAAATTGTATAACAGTTCTACCAATTTCAGAATAATAGATTCTCAATTTTCTTTCATTTTCCATTGAATAATCAAATTGAATTTATAAGAACTGGCCAAAAAAAAAAAAAAAAAAATCCAAATTGGCATCCAAAAATACATGAATTCACAAAGGTTCAAGATTATAATTATCCCCCCACTATCAAAATACTTCCCTAACTGTGTAAATAAAAATTTTTTTTTTTTTTTTGAGTCTTAAAGGAGCTGACCCCTTTCAAAGGTATCTTCATTGTGAAATTTGAGGAGATATGAAAGACCAGAGGAACTTATTAACATACTATCTTCCAACTTATGCCAATATTTCTTACAAAACGAATTAAAATTTGTTAAAGTTGCCATTGTTTTTGCTTGAAACACTTCGTAAGTAAGTTTCTACAGTAAAATATGTTCATGTAATTCCATTGCAACCACCTGTATCAGCAGATAACATACTGACATTGTTGTCATAGTTACATACTAGATGTATAAACCAGGAA